ACAGACCTTTGACCAGCTCCCACTTCCAGCTGCTGGATGCGCACTCGCTTTGCTCCACTGCGCAAGTGCAGTTGCACTCACACTGCACAGAAGCGGTGGGGTCTTGCAGCAAGGAAGCCGCCCATGCGGCGAGGAGCAGGAAGGGTCGCCACATCTAAAAGCTTGAGAGATGAACGGAGGCGGCCACTCGTCAGGTTCCTCAAGCCTCAGCAAGCAGGTACAAGCCTACTTGCTTACTTAAGTTTCTTTACTGCTTCCCTACTTCCTTTCCCTGCTTGCTTACTTACTTCCTTACAGGCATACCTGTATAATACATGTATGCGGGTGTGTGTGTGTGTGTGTGTGTGTTGCTGTAGTAGCGAGCATGTATCTGTGCACATTTCTGTGTTGATGTTTTGCCCCCGCCCCCCTTCCCCGCCCCCCGATGTGCACAGCCAGCATGTCCTGGTCCTAGTCCACATTCAGGGGGTGCGCACGGAAAAGACAACGGTAGCCCAAGACCACGCAAGACACCAACAAACTCAAGCCTACCAACCCTCCCGTACAAAAAAGCGTCCGCCCCATAGTACCCTCGCCATACCCCGAAGCCAAACCCGAGGGAACCCCGGCCTAGGAGTTAGGGTTTTGGCGTTCAGGGTTTGGGATACCCTGTCATACCATGAGGTCTTCTGCCACATTTCACTAGAGTTTACGGTATACTGTGGATTATTATGCCCTATTAAATCTCTTCTACCATGAGGAACCCTAAACCCTAAACTCTAAAACCTAAACTCTAAACCCTAAACTCTAAACCCTAAACTCTAAACCCTAAACCCTAAACCCTAAAGTCTAAACCGGGCCTGCCGCGTCAGCGCCTTTTGGAGCGCCTGGGGCTCGGCCTCGACCGCGACGGTGCCAGCGTCCTGCCAGGGCGCTTGAGAGTGGCTGGTCACTTTAGGGCTCCTTTAAGGGTTTTAGGGCTTTTGGGTTTAGGGTTTTAGGGCTTTAGGGCTTTAGGGCTTTAGGGTTTTAGGGTTTTAGGGTTTAGGGTTTAAGATTTAGGGTTTAGAGTTTAGGGTTTAGGGTTTTAGGGCTTCGGGTTTATGGTTTAGGGATTTAAGGTTTAGGGTTTTGGTCTTAGGGCTTAGGGTGGTCGGGTTCCATCAAGGTTCTATCAGGCGGGGTTGGATGAGGAGTCTGGGGTTCCTGTAGATCTTTACTGTACTATCAGGACAAGGAGTTTAGGGTTTAGGGCTTAGGGTTGGGTTCTATCTGGGTGCGATAAGGAGTGCCGAATAAAAGGGTTACCAAATGCGTTGCGATAAGGCCTGCTATAATATGAGGCCTGATATATGGGTTTCTCGTGTATTAGAATCTGTTAGGTGTGATCAGACAAGATTACTGGATCGAACTGTTCCGAAGACTTCCCCAAACTAAAGAGTTGAAGCAGATTCCTGACGTTGATACAGATGGTTGGGCTTCCCTTGCTATTCGGCGGATGCCGGCACTGAGCATGCTTCAGAAAAGCCCGAGATTTAGGGTAGTTCCCTTGTGGGGTCGGGAGAATCTGTACCGAAGCCCTGGATTCAAAAGCACCCTAAAGCAAGGCCACGGGCGCCTCGAAGACATCCAGGAAGATCACCGAACGAAAGAGCCGCGGGAGGGCGGCCTTCACGAAAGACGGACACGAGGCTATGGGAGTTGGATTTTCAGGCTTTCGAAGGGATGGCCCCAGGTTTCAACCATGTCCACACAGAGTCGGCTAAGTACATCAAAAGCCACAGTCACAGAATCCCGAACATGTCCCACCTCAATCAAAGCCCTCCGGATGCCTTCACACTGACAAATCGACAAACACGAATTCCAAAGGCCTAGAACCTGAAAACGACACTCCCCCGCCCCAATCCTCAAGCGGCAGAGCCCTAAAATCCGAAACCCTTAAATGTAGGGGCCGTAACAATTAGAATGGGGTTTGGGGGGTTGTAATCAGGAACCCCAAAAATAGGTAGTTAGTACGGCCCTTATATTAAATCCCAAAGCCCCGACTGGGCGTTGCCTCATCCTGGCTTGGCCAGGCCACCCACAAAAGCCCCTCGAACCAGAGCAGGTTCAGGAAGTAGGCCAGAGGAGCGGCCTAGAGAGGGTCTAGGCCTAGGGTCTGGGGCTTTGGGCTTGGGTTTAGGAGTTTAGGATTTAGGGTTTAGGGCTCTGTCGAGGGTCCAATCCCGGTGAGGCTGCTCATTGACATGCAACTGCGACCACCCTCCTACTCCTACCCCGCCCACTGCTGCTACTACTACTACTACTACCACCACCACGACACTACGACAGCTACTGGTTGGAGTTGTCGCTGAGAACCGCATCGTCATCCTATGATTAAGACCACTAGCCAAGCAGCCGGGTAATCCTCCGTCTGTAGCGGGATGCCTTCATCTGACTTCTTCGCCATCACCTAGGCCGAAATCGCACAAAGCTCAACTAAAAACCCAACAGTCCTAAGATACCCGACTGGGAACTTCCTTAGCTTCCTGGTCCCAAGATAGAAGCATGTCACTTGCTGCTGCCACACTGCCACCCTATGGCCACCAAGACGTCCAAGTCCCTGAACCCTAAACCAGACTCTGGGAAACCATCATCCGAAAATGCGCAATTTTGGGGGCCTCATTAAATAGAAGAGGGCTTTGGGGTATATTATACTATAACTATAATAAGGAACTCCCAAAATGATATTGGTAATTGCTTAGTCCCCTATATTACTCAAGAACAATGAAATGCTGTCCCAGAGCCAGGCTGATCGAAGCAATCCAAACGGGGACGGACCCGAGCGCTTGCAAAAAGATCACCTTCAAGACACCTCGCGTGCTGAGGTAGCGTCCCTAAACCCTAAACCCCTAAACCCTAAACCCTAAACCCTAAACCCTAAACCCTAAACCCTAAACTAAACCCTAAACCCTAAACCGTGCACAGCTGCCAGGCGCCATCCCCAAAAAAGGGCATCGAGGCTCATCACTACGGATCGAACTTGAAAACACAAGTCTCTTTCTGCGGTTCTTCAGAGTATAGGGTTTAGGGTTTAGGGTTTAGGGCTTAGGGGGTTTAGGCTAATTAGGGCATAGGCTCTCGGCCATGGGTATAAAAATAGAGTGCAGGGCTTATTATAGAGGCCTTATGATTAGAATAAGGTTTTTGGGGGCATAGTTATACCATAGCTATACCAAGGAATCCCCAAAAATGGTATAGGTAATCCTGCAGGCCCCTACATTACCCTAAACCCTAAACCCTAAACCCTAAACCCTAACATTCTTCCTCAGATCGCGACTCGCCGAGCTGCCAATCCCCGCCAGGTCGAGGGTCGCCAAGACGAGACCTCCGGAGTTGAAGCCGGCGATGAGCGCGAAGCAGAGGCTTGGGCACCTGAGTATGGCTTATAGGGTCTAGGGTTTTAGGGTTTAAGGTTTAGGGTTTAGGGTTTAGGGTTTAGGGTTTGCGCTGTGGTCGCTCGCGCCTCTTCACGGGGCAGCTACCTATGCTTCTTTCACGCTGCCTCTCCCCATTGCGCTCGC